ACGATTTTCTGCCTGACACGGTCGTTTAATCTCCGTTGACGTATATCGCAGCCATGACTCGCGTCTTCTTCCCCTCGCTTCCGCTCCATCATCCGTGTGACCTGCAATCGGCATTTTTAATTTCGTCCGGGATGAAGCTATTTACGTCGCAAGCTTTCGGCTCTGAATATCAAGCCAAGCTAGCTGCAAGGTAATTTCTCGTTAATTCGAGGAGGTGGCCACGTGGCGAAGTTGAGGAAGCCGTGGCGCGGAAGCATTTTCACGATGTAAATGCCGGGTCATCGTGAAACATCGAACTATGTGAGATAGTAATTGGGTGGAATTTTCATGCACGTCGGACTAACGTCAATGATTGTTTTGTATCGTTGACGTTTCAGGACAATTGCTGATGACTCGAAGGAGTCGACTATCTAGTATCTGCGACCCCGACGGCGAGATGATACGTAAGCTGCACACACGTAACAGAATTCTCTATGTATTCACGGACACACTTGTCAAGAGACCATTCGTACGTGAAGATCACGACGGCTCGGAAAAGAAATGTCGTTCCTCTAAAATTTTAGCGTTTGCCCAATCGTTCTTTGACGATACTTCTCTCAGAGAAATGGAAGACTTAACACAACGAAAATACGATATGCCCGGAGAAACGAAATACTGAACTAAAATATCGCGTTACAATAAAAGCACGACGGAAGCCAATTTTCCATTTCCCGGTATTATTCCAGGGATTATTGTTAATTTAAAATCGTTTCGTCGAAGATGTTATTTTTAATCTATTATTCTGAAATATTCATTACAAAACAGTTATTTCGATAGTTTTGAAATACAAAATTATAAAAATTCTAAAATAGCTATATCATCCGGTTATTACGTTATTTTAACAATTCTAAAATATCTACATCTATTTCTAATTGTTATTCATATTAAAACTTTTTCGTCGGTGATAGGTGCTCGTCTGATTTCAGTAATTTAAAAATATCTATCTGGGAATAAAAACATCGCGTTGCAGTCAATGTGTTAAAGAAACAACGAAGAGCAGTTCTATCCTAAGGATTTCGTCAAGGCTGTTGTAATCGTTCCAGCAATTTGGCGGATAATTACGTTCGATTAGAACTTGTATACCTCACGTTGTAGCACGATCCAACTCGGAGGAGATTAATATTTATCAGATGAAATCGTTCTCGTATATGATCGAATGATTCACATCTCGCTGCGGTTACATAAAGAGCGTTGCATTCATTAGCGTGACGCGACTGCGGATTATCTTTACGTCGTACGTATTCCGCGAACCGAACATCATTGAATTTTCTTACGATGAAAGGAACGAAATGCACCTCGTAACGTGTATTTCAAATCGGGCACAACCATACGAATGGTCTCGATAGATATTTTACGATGTGACACTCATGCCACGCTATAGAACAGCTTGCAATTATTTAAAAACAAAAAAAAAA